GAAACGTCTCAGTTCGTACTCGTTGATCTGCGCAACAGTGAAAGTCGCCATCTTTGTTTATATGAGACCCATATATCTCGCACATGTGCAGCGCGACGACTACCGCGCTTTAAATATCTACCCGCGTGTTACGGATTACATAGTTTCTAGGTCCCGACTCTCAAGGGTCAAAAACCTTGCAAATGCTTACAACAGCATATTTAAAAACATAATATGTGTTTACCATTCGGTTGGATATACACCCATAATATGCTCGCTGTTGACGAGTCATTGCTTAACAAACATCGTGGGAAAGCGACATGTACGTGATTTTCTAACAATATGGCGACAATTGAGATGAACTGCGGACACTGGGTTATCTTTGATTGTACAGGTAAATAGCGTCTTTTTGGTCATCGCGAATATCTATAACGTAATACGTCGACAGAATCAGCGATTCGGACGCTTACTAGACATTAGTAATTCACTGGTATTTTTTTTCAAAATGTTCAAAATTGTGTTTAATCATTTCAGACTAAGACCGTAAGTGTTTTATGCTAAATTTACACCCAAAATATGGCAAATGATTAGAAATGTCCCATCATGCTCGTAGCTATATTTGACAACATGTTCTAAGCTATTTTTAAGAGAACTGAATATCTGCAGTATATAATTCCTCCTCAAAAAAAAAAAAAAAAAAAAAAATTCCTACACGATTGTACGCCTACTCAATACGTCAATGAATTTATATAAATATAGACATGGAGAGCGTTGTTATTCAATATATTATAACGTTTCGGATTCCGTCACGTGGTTTCACAGGAAACGGTTCGCAAGAAACAAAAGGCGTTTTCTAAATGGCTCGCTATAAGTTGCATAGTTTATTTGCAGTTTTTGCCATGGTAATGACCATGACAATGTCGTATTCTGTAGTTTCCGGTAGTGAAAGTTCCCCGTGTACGGTGGCGACAAAAATCACGATGTTTGGAGACACAGGAGATGACCAGTGCCCGGGCATAAAAGACGCCTATATCACCATGGAAGACACTTCGACGGTTGAAGGAAGTTCACAGCGGTTCGTGTCTGTGGCCGATGTTGCACAATTGACAAACCAGATGGAGGTGATGCAGAATATGATTGTTGCCATGGGAATGGAGATTTCAGAGATGAGACAGGAATGTGCTGGTGACCACAACCCGGATACTGCTCGAGAAGAACCTGACATTGTTACCAGTCCGTATAAACCTACAGGTTAGAAACATCACACCATTAAACAATCTGACGTGTGTTGAATGCGCCATATTCTAGTTGCGTTGAAAAACAAAAATGTTCGTAATTGATCGCTGGTGCGCTGTTATACGATGTCGTAAAGCATAACATTGACTAAAAGGCCAACATTTTTTTTTCATATCGTAATCCTTTAAATTAACTTTGTTTTCACAATTCACGACATTTATATTTGAAGCTAGTTCACCTTTAGTGTATAATACAACTATCGCAATCTAACACGTGACCCACAACTCTGGACTCCATGTAACAGTATAAATGCATTATTTATAATATATACAGTAAACAAACAAACAAAGGAATTTAACTCTACATAGTAACTGTTCGACAATGTAAAATTAATCGACTGGTGACACGCACACAATGGTGCAGAAAGCTCCTGAATCTGTCGCCCTCTAGTGGTGAAAACTATAATGTGCCGAAAAGTACACGATGGATTTAACGTCACGGTGCATGTTGTTGTTGCTGTTGTAGGTAGTCCAAGTACTCAAACCGAAGATGGAAATGACGGCCCTGTTATAAAGCTGATGAAATCGATAAACCAAAGTGAGACCTTGACAGGTATATATATCGTAGGTTATTTCATATTTTTTCATGTAATTGTGGACGAACTTTAATTATGTTCGAGTTACGTCTTCAATTCAACAATGTTTGAAAAGGTTCCATGTATCGGCTCTTTTTTATTTTATAGTTAAGAAGGACGGGGAAAAGAGTATTGGAAAAAAGGCAGGCAGACGTCGGCCATCGCACTGCGCATGTGAAATAAACAACGCGTCAGTTATTGCCCAGAATTATATTCGTAAGTAAATTTGTATTTATTTTGTTTTGAATATATCGTATTCGACGACTAACTCACCATATGATTGTTTTTTTTTCTCTCTTTGTCAAGACAAGATTACGAAGCATACGGTAGCTTTTTACAAGTTTGACAACAATGCCAACGACGCAGCTGGAAACGGTCACTATGGAAACCTTGTGGGTGACGTTGAATTCGAACGTAAGAGTGGAATTGACGGCGGTGCTGCCAAATTTAGCGGAAACGGTAAAATTAACGTGGATAGTTTTCGTCTCTACCCGTGGGAGAATCCGTTCAGTGTCAGTGTATGGGTAAAGCGGGCTGCTGGCTGGTCTACAGGATCGACCATTATATCAAATGGAGCTTCAAACTACGGTAGCTGGAGTGTTGACATGGGTACGTCAATGGCAGGCCAGGCGCTCGGTGCTAGTATTTCTGAATGTGGTGACGTCGATCGTTCAACTGGCAAACATCCTAAATGGACATACGAAAACATTTTAGCCGAACACAATTCATGGCACCATGTCGTGTTCTCATTCAATGGGGCGAAACTAGACTTTTATCTGGATGGCCTAAAGCGTCAGAAAACTGACGGTACACCTTGTGAGTACATGCTTTTGCGAGACACCCCTCTTACTATCGGCGGCGGTGGTGTTGGATCCACCGGGTCGTATTTCAACGGACTGGTAGATGAGTTGTTGATTTTGAACACCAGCCTGACATATGAAGAAGTACAATATCTGTACACGTTGCATGATCCACGTGAGTGTGAAAGTCCATACATAGTGGCACATTTCACTTTTGATGACGATTTCAACGACCAATCATGTCACCAGAGACATGCTAGCTATGAAAGTGGGGCCGGCGTTGAGCCGTCAAATGCGGTGTCTGGCTCTGCAATGATGTTTAACGGAGTAAATAAAATTGAAGTTGCCCTGCTTAAAAACTATCCCTATGGAAATCAGTTCTCAGTTAGTCTACGTTACAAACGCACTGGAAATTTTAAGAAGGAGCAGAGCATTGTGTGGCATCATAGTTGGGAAATCCGCGCAGGGCCGAGCTCACGGATAGGGGGCGCTATTAAAACAGTAGCACGTAATACAAAATCTTCAGAGGTGGTGATTGGCCAGTTTTCAACCTATCCTTATGAGAACATCCAGGCCACTGATAACGTGTGGCACCACGTGGTCATGACGTACGACGGTTCTCTCTTCAAGTTCTACCTGGATGGTGCTCAACAAGCAGGCGGTGAAAGCTGCTGCGTTGGGGATGTTACAACTACTGACCAGTCATTAATTATTGGCGGCAAATTACCCATCGCCACCAATCCAAGTCGGCATTCGTACAGTTACCGTGAATTAGTGACTCACGAGAGTGTCGATTTTTACGGATTCATCGATGATTTTAGACTTTACAGACAAGTATTATACCAAGAAGACGTGTCTAGGTTATTTACGGAGCTAGACCATTAAGTTTTAACTACTTTCAGATTGT